CATTCGATTTCACCAAGCTCAGCACCGTCTACAGAGATGGGTAGACAATGAAGGCGCCGGGGTGCCTTGTGGCGGAGCCAGCATGGAGAATTTGGGAAACCCAGCTCCGGGTCATTTACGACCCATCATCATTTTCGCGGCTTAGGTTTAAGGTAGCTATTCCTGTACTCGCCATTCCAGTAGGACCAACATGACCTTGGCAATTCAACCACATATCCCATCTCCTCCTGCCCAAGTTTCCAAATAAGGTAGCAGGGCTTATTCTCTGGTGGGACAGAGACGAATATATTCAGTTAGTCACCTCTGTAAAAAGACAAATTGCAACAATGCAAGGTCATATTCTTTGGGTCTTTCAGTAAAGTCACGCAGATAGGTTACAAAAAAACTATGTTTCGATCGCAACAAGCGTTTTTTTCTTCTTGATGACGAACGCTTGCGTTGCGATCGAAACGTCGTAGTTTTTTGTTATTTTCTTTTAAACCATCTACGGGACTTTACCAAAAGACCCAAAGAATATTAATTCCTGCAGTCACGAAAGCTTAAAGTCAAGATTTAATGCAAGGTCACTTTAATTCACGAATAGATGTTTTTGTCCTTGTCACAGAGTATTAACCTACTAAATCTAGTGGTACAAGTTAACTAGAAATAATCAGTACTCGCACGATTCGATGCATATATATAAGGAAGCATAAGACTCGCATCAATGAATTCATCAATCGTTGCACAACTGCAGGGCACGTGGTGCCAATACAATGGTACACCGATGACAAGTTGTTGGAGCTGGAAGATCGTTTTTTAGGACTTGGCTCTCAACCCATGGACGTGATTTTAAATCATCCGAGCCAACGATGGTTTAAGAATGTAAAAGGTCACTCAACAGGATCATCCACAATTCTGTCTGCTCAAGCGAGAATTGGATGGCACTCGCTTCCTTTGGCAAGCCTTAAGCCAGTGGCAGAAACTGCTCAAATATGGCACAGGGGCCAGTCTCACCACTGGACGACTGTCGTTGCTTCATTTGAAGTGGCACTTGTTTATTTACTATTTTACGATTTTAATTTCACCAGGCAAAGCCCACTGAGTTACACAGCTCTTTTTCAGAAGCGACCTTGCCACAAATGATCGCTCAACGTGGAAATTCATATCAGCCAAATACTCGCAACGCATGTCGATTCTAAATGAGGGAAAAACCGCAGGACCCGAAAAAAACACAACCACGGGGAGAGACATGCAAACTCCAAATATACAGGCGTCAAGGTCTGGATAGGTTGTTGTATTGTACTTATATGCTCCCCCACATCTATACTCTCCATCGTCAGTAAACGGCAATGAGCTACGTGGTGACGTATGGTCAAATTGCCTCCAAAACCCGCACGGCATGGGGAGGCCCTTGTCCAGCAGTGGACTGACAAAAGGGCTGTAGACATACATGCACACAGACTTATTCTGCAGACTGTAAGAGGCAGTGCTGTTACCAAGCACCTTTTACAGACTTGATGGCCCACAAGGTGTGGCCAGGACCACACCTTGTCCTACGCTATACCAGAAACGTATTTAAGGCAGAGGCAATTTAATGAAAAGCCATGGGCAGGTTCCGGTGCCACTTGCCATTACTGTATCAGTGATCAGGAATTGAACCCAGGTTGTGGATTTATTGAGCAGTGTGTAAATTACTGCGCTGGCACCACCACCACAAGACAACAATCCCCCTTATAACCTTAACAGACTATTGGGGCAAGTGCTGTGAGCGAGTAGCACCTATGAAGGCCGGCACGGCACACAGAGAGAGTGGGTGGCCAACACCACGGCCGGCCGCCTTTGTCTCCCCCAGTGGCGATGTTTACACCTTGCAGCGGGTACTCATTTGAGGCCGAGTCGATCTAGGGGAGGCCCAGAACCGGCTCACACACACGCTGAGAACAGTGATTCATGCAATAATCCCCTGAATTCGTGCATTTAACATATACAGCTGCTACAGATCATTTACTTTATTCTTGCTAATTATGTTTACATTTTTTAGCTCGACTTCACTATTTGTTTTCAAGGGAAATGCACTTTCGACTCAAACACCTACCCGCATGTCGACGGCCAATGCTTTCGGTGCAAATTCCCACAGCAAATGCAAGTGTTCTGCTGAAAGCCTAATTATTTAAACGCGCAGGAAAACGGCACCAAACCTCAATACTAATTTTCAGTAGGGCCTTGCCAAATAGTGGTTGACGGTCAGAATCAGAATCTTTATTTATATTGGGAGGAATCCAGTGAGCTATAAAATCTCTTGTTCACAGATGTCCAGGTGTATGCTGTGTGCAATCCCAACAAAGTAATTAGTAGTGGATTTTTTTTCTTCCATCATAGAGTTGTTTTGGCCACCACCAGTTAACAATGTGTGTTTATCATCTCCGAGAGGAAACCAGAAAATCCGGAGGAAACCCACGGAGAATAGGGGGGAGGACATACAAACTCCACAGATGAAAAGAAGCCCAAGCCAGGAATCGAACCCAGGTCACTTTTTGCTGGCGACGCACAAGTGTTATGACTGCACCACCTAACCGAATAAAGTTGCCATTTTATAAGAACTTGTGTAATATTTAACTTTGCACGCCAAGGCGTGCTAAATAGTTGGCCCAAGAACAAATGTAAACATTGCTGTCAACGAGACACTGCAGTCAGTGCTTGCACATACATTTGCATAGCCAATGAACCAGGGGAACAATATATATGGTTGGTTACTAGGTCAGTTTCTGTACTGCTACACCTCAATGGGTTTCCCCAACAATTTAAATACAAATGGATTTATATACTATATATTTGGTTCTTTCGGTAAAGTCACGTAGATAGAAAACAAAAAATCTAAATAAGCAAAAAAAACCCACGACGTTTCGATCGCAACACAAGCGGTCTTCGTCAGGTGGAGAGAAAACCTGAAGATGACCGCTTGTGTTGCGATCGAAACGTCGTGGGTTTTTTGCTTTTAATTTAGAATTTTGATTTTCGTTTCCTATCTACGTGACTTTACCGAAAGAACCAATAATATGAATTCCTGCAGTCACGAAAGTTTTAAGTCTAGATTTATATACTGTACAAGAGTTGGAGGACCCCAGCCGCTCTCAGACGTTGGTCAAGGCGTGTTATATGTTTTGTTTACCATACTTCACCATTCTGATCAGAACGGAGTGGAGCGCAGGACTATTGAATAGCACTTGTCACGGACGTTAGCTGTGGTCGGAAAATAGAACTTCGGTCTGTAGGTTAATAACGCAAGAAGCACTGCGATAACCACTACCATCGCTCCAGCCCAGTTTTTTTTTCATAGGCATGCGTAAAACTTGTTTGTTAACCTATGCCAGACATCCTCGGACTTGAGACTAATTTTCAAGGTGATGCGACCGATCCCTTGTGGAGCATGGAAAAGCAACCTAGAATAAGCCAGAGTCCCCAGAGAAAAGCCACACGTGGGAGGAGGGGAGCACACTCGAACCCGTTAATAGATGGCTCAAAAACCTACTTGCTGTACTGCCTACTATAGGTGTCTTCTTGCCTGGGAGGCAAGTATCCATCGTATACGATGGCCATAATCGTACCCACATTCAAATCGGTTCCAATATAAGATTACAATCCAACTTGCTGCACTGCTCCGACAGGCACCACCTCGTTGCCCTACAGGCAGGGTACTTCACGCACCTGGGGGCTCAATTAATTAAGGGTCAGCGTGACTCACTGCTTGAAACCGATCTCTTATCAATTTAAAATAGTTTTTTCTCCATCGCGTGGGATGTTTACAGACCATCGGTCGTGTGCCACCATGCATCGGTTTGTGTTGTGAGCATCCTTCTCCTCCACTGCCCCTATAGTCTGGCACTGCCTTCACCTCAGCGATCTACGCTGTCAACCGGGCATCACGGTGGCGAGATGTTAACTCTTGCCTGGTATGCAGGAGGTCGTGGGTTCAATCCCAACCCTGACACCTGTATATTTGGAGTTTGCATGGTCTCCCCGTGGTCGGGTGGATTTTTCTCCGGGTGCTCGGGTTTTTTCTCCTCCACATTTCGAAACGTGCATTTCAAGAATTTCGCTGCTGTAAATTTCCACACAAGCCATCTCGTTGAGCTATCATTTGTGGCCAGGTCGCTTCTGAAACAGAGCTATATAGCTCAGTGGGCCTTACCTAGTAAAAACATTTTTTGTTTAGCTTCAAATCCATGTTTAACATGTTAATTTTTACTTCTGCCAATAACGGACTGCATCTGCCAATTAAATAACTATGCCCACAGCTTCTGTCGAGTGTCTCGAGATGCAGTCACATTTAAATGTAATGTGTGTAAAAAAGGGAAATATCCCCCGTATAGCCTTAACGGACTGTTGGGGCGAGTGCTGTTAGCGAGTGGCACCTATGAATGCCGGGGACACACCGCACGGGGGGGGGGGGGGGTGTGGCCAGCACCACACCCGGTCGTCTTTGTCTCCCGAGTGGAAATATTTACATACTGAACACACACACATTGTATTATTACATCGCAGGGTTGTGAGAAATGGCGGCTTGGAGAGGCCTTCATCCAGAAATGAATTGACCATGGCTTATGGAGGCATGTATTGTGGGGCGATGCTCATGACACCACAGGCAGCCCCCAGCCAGTGGTGAACTTTCCACATTGTTGTGCCAGGGAGCAGTCCACTACCGATTCCCACACAAAGTTGTACTGCATTTACCCACCCTGGAGTCAAGGTTCGCACAGCAGACCCCAGTTTGGGAATCGAACCCACGGTGGCACCCGGTCACAGATGACCATAAATACATGTAGATGTTAACAGACGGCATGTGTTAAAACGTGACTGGATGTACAATACAAACATCAGTGTGTATACAACATTTTTCTCATGTGAAGTTTACAAAAAAAAATTCAGCGGGCTCATCAAAGAGGAAATGAAAGTACGCAGATGACGAAGAGGCTCAAATAAATAAAAAGGACAGAGAAAATGACGGAGACATGTGTACTTACTTGGAAAGTGACACTTGTTGGGCTACTGTTGTTGGAACCATCATCGTGGCACATCTATTGACAAAGGGGTGAAACAAAGGTTGAAATTTTTTATGAACGCAGGAAACAAAAATAACAAAAAACACACATAGAAAAATGAACAAAACAAAGATGCAAACATGACACAGGAAACGAAACTTAAGGTGGCAGATGTCTTTCGGGAAACTCCGTCATGGAATGTGAGATGAAATCTACTGCTGTGTGTGCCTGTGGGATCAAATCAACCGGATATGTGGCCCCATCTCGTCAGCCTCCCGGAAAGCCAAGCAAAGGGCCTAAAAGCCTGGGATAGCGCTTGAATGGGCAACCACCACGCATAAAGTAACTGCGCTATCAATGGCTGCGGCTGCTAGGCTACATTGCGAGCAGAGGGCAGGGAGCGTCAGAATCCACTGCGCTTTACCACACTCCCCATCTTCACCGACCGACACTAACCAGGCATGGCGAAGTATGGACAATTGACCTCGACAAAACGCATGGCGTGGGGGGGGGGCTCATCCAGCAGTAGATTGATAAAAGAACAGTACAGCTACACGCAAGCATGGTCCTCGGACTCACCAACCCACATTGTTAAAAGAGAAAAGGGAAATTATATTCTGTAAATTATCAACACAATGACCCCTAGCTGGCACAGGGTCATTAAGAAAACAGCCCCACTGCCTATGCTACCGGTTGGGTCCTGGGGCATAGCAACTAACTCCTAATGGGAAGGTCATAAGATCAAATCCTGGTCGAGGTTAAAGCAACCAAATCACTTTTCTGGGGTGCGCAAAATAAGTATCACAACTTTTAGCGAAGCCGGGAGTGGTTAGTCCAGATGAGACGCGGTCTCCACCACAGGAATTTACATCGGTCACGGTTCGCCCACCAGAGATAAGCAAGAGCACTCACTGCACGTTGAAATGTTGCAAACGAGCGCAGTGCAAAAAGGGCACGTGCGTTGGACGGTCAATTGTCTAACGAGCAGTAAAAAGGTCAATTAAAAAAATGTTTACCAAAGGGGGCTTCAGAGGAGGAGATGCTGGGACACCTAATTGTGCCGATGCAGACAAAGATAAAGGGGCCGAAAAAAAACACGCGGGCAATTAACGCTGCAGCGAGTCTGGTCCCTGTACCAGTGTGGCTGAAAGGTCACTCGCTGGCGCATCTGAGCCACGCCAGCAGGGAGGGGCTCTCGCAGTACGGGGGTAGTTTTACTATCTGCAGAGAGGAGCCGAAACCACACCATGCTATGCTGGTCTCGCAGACGTCTGAAGCTGGCTTGGGGCCAAGTCGGGCCACGGGGCGGGGATTCAACATTGCCTGCGACACGAGTGGCACGGCTAAGCTTCCGCAGTGGAAAAATCAAACCGGGGCGCTGGACTGGCTCATCGCAGCCGGCGGCGTGGCTCGTTTACACGGTGGGGACTACAGGTAACAGGTGGCCCCCATGTCCAAGCCTTGTGGGTGGATCTGAGCCACTGGATAAAACGCCACATTCATAGGATGACCCACTGTTGACTTCCGACAGGGTAGTGCTTATTTTATCAACCACGAAGCGATGATGGGCAGTGTCACTGCCTGATTAGAGATTTAGCTTAAGACCGTCCCCCAAATGTGAGTTGAGCTTTCCAGGGCAGGCAAACGTTGTCAAATACGAATGACGTAAAAAGCTTCCAATTCGACCGAACGTGAACTGTGTGTAAGTGCATTTAACAACGGACGACTTTTGGGCAAGATGATGCCAACAACAACAAAAAGTGAACAGATGAAAATAAAATAAAAAGAAACACAAGATTTAAAAAAACAGCACGAAGAAATCACGTTCACAAAAACAGAACAAAGAACACGGCTGTAGAAAGGGTAGCGATGCATGCTGATAAATTGACAAGGTAATACACCGGCGTGGGTAATAAAAAAAACTTTATTGCGTGTGATGTGGCCACGGACAGCCCAACACGTGGTCGATCTTTGCTTCAGTCACAAAACGACCTGCGCGATAAGCACCGCCGCCGTTCACGCTCGACATTCCCGCGTATCGTTTACCTTTGTAAGGACAAGGCCTCTCGCACGCCGAACGGGCGCCCCTTCCGCTACCAACACGACAACCCACTCACCTTCTAAAGCAGGACACCGTGTCGTTTCGGGCCAGGTCGTGCCCCTTGATAATTACTTGTCCGTTTCGATTTTATTATTTCGATTTACTGATGCAAGTCATTCGTCTCCACATTCGTGCGCTCCAAAAATGTTTACTTTGGAAATGTCTGACCAGGTGGTGACATGGTTGGGGAACGTTTGTTTTGTAATGCAGAGGTTGAGAGCTCCGGTCAGTGGTTAGCCTGGTCGACATCAGCGGTTGCCCGATGGACAAACTGCTCTCTGCCATTGAAAAAGTGGAATTTCCACCACTGGCTCACGGCTTTCAAACAGTTAAGGGCATTATCTGATTGCGTGAGAGAGAAGCAAGTACATTTTATCTGGGCACACCTGTATTCCAGTGCTATGGATACAGTGTGTGAGTAACACTGATCGTCTTGGACGCGAGACTCAAAACCGCCGGGCTATAGGGCAATGATAACATAGCGTTTACATCAGTGTAGGATACAGGTGTGCAAATTACGCTTCAAAGATTTGCTCATATCAAATACAAGAGTGATGGCTTCAAAACAAAACCATTGCTTCCCCAATACGGGACAGTTTTTTTTTCTCGTCTCTGTGGAAAGTGTGGAAGCCTCTTCTATCATTAAAAAGAGAGGAATCAAGTTAAATAAAACCGTTGAAAAAAAGGCAGAAGTTGTGGGTATTTAGAGCCGGTGTATTCACACGAACGGCAGATGCCGCAGCTATTTACACAACACGAGGGAACTTCGCAGGGATGTGAGCAGGGCGACCCAAACAAAGTCTCTGAACCCCGGCCGACCCTTCCACGAATAAAGACAAGGGAGCCGCTTTCAAACCGATAGATGTTTCAGATTGATCTTACCACAACCAACGCCAGATTGAGCCGATAGCTACAATGGTGGGGGGGGGGGGGGGGTGGGCGGTCTCTTACGACTCTGGCCAGTCTCGGCTGGAGAAATCCAGGCTCAGCCAGAGCCTGCGGAGCGCTTGGGTTGAGAACGAGTAGCACGAGCTTGAAACGAGAAATAGCAAAAAAATATATATGCAAGAAAGCACTTTGACCTACTGATAAACGCTGGCAAAAAAAAAGTGCAGCAAGTCAAATGAACGTTTGCCAACTTGGTGAGCGCAAAATTAGCGGTGCCAAGTTAGATTGTTTTTAACAACCACTGCTATCACCCACACGGTGTTGTAAGAGGGTTAATAAACAAGCTAGAGCCACCGGCAGCACGTGAGTGTTACAGCGACAATGTGTGGCATTGCAATGACAGTCGAGGGGACGTTAAATCTAAGAAGAGCAAATATCGCATGACATTAAGTCATTGCCACCCATTGATGATTGCGATAATTTTAACCAATTAAGCTACTGATCATTAATTAAATATAACTTACAGCCTACGTCAACCTATTGCTGAATGAAAGCCTCTCCAGGCCGTCAGTGATTGGGGGGGGGGGGGGTTGTTTGACCATACCTCACCATACTGGGGAGTTGTCGGCTGGCAAAGGGGTAGCAGGCAGGACCGGTTCAGATAATCATTCGTGACTGGGCCCGTAGCGTGGGGTGCTATGTGTAAACTCACAAATGAAAAGGGACGTCCTGAAGGTGAGTCTTGAGACTTGGCAAGGCTTTCCTGGATAATTCTCAGTTACTAAAACGAAAATATTTCTTATTTTACCCGGTAAGGCCCACGGAGCTAAAAAGCTCTTTTCACAAGCGACCTGGTCACATATATTAACTTATCATGTGAAAAATGTACATCAGCCAAACACTCTAAATGCACGTTGATTCTCAATGTGGAGGGAAAAACCAGAGGAGAAGACATGCAAAACTCCAAATATTACAGGTTTCAGGCAACGGGATCGAACCCACAACCTCCTGTATACCAGGCGACGTAGTCTCCTCTGCACTGATAACACACATGGGGGCGGTGCTCGCATTTATCGGTAGTGCCCCCCGAGCTAGTGGTGTGGATTCTACACCCCTCATGGTGGTTGCTAGCCAGTTAACCGGAATCCCTTCTGCGAATCGATCGCCGGCTCCGATAGTCAAGAACCGGTAATCATTTCCACGTGGAATTATAGTCGAAAGGAGGTAGGTACATACTTGCACTTTCTCCCCACCATGCGTGATCCTCTGATTGGCAAACTGTAGTGGTACCCATTCATACTGCTGCGTGGACAGAATTAGAAGGGGGAATTTAATAATTGTCCCCATTTGTTTTAACTCGTTGCAACAGGAGATTTAATTGAACCGGCGATCTTGTATGTCGAATGTGCTCACCATCACACCACGGTAGCTCGCTTAAATCCTAGATTAAGGAGGTTGAAGTGCTGTGTGTTGTTAGAAATTCCAATCTTCGCTGCAATCCAGTAACCATTTTCTTTATCATGTAATTCATGCGGTTACCGGTAATGCAAAAATAAGGATTCTACCACTAAAATCCAACGTCAGTCTCTCCATGGGATGACCCACTGCTGACATCCCCACAAATTGGCACTTATTTTATGCACCTTGGCCATATCAACCACCATTCAGGATTCACAAATGTATCCTTCCAATTGAAAGTCGGATGTTCCAACCCGTGCTGCCTCCCGGCATCATAAAAAATAATAATCGTCTAGATTTACTGTGTGCAAGTGGGGGGGGGGAGGGGGGGATCAGCAGGAAGTGATCATAAAGTGCAAGCCAACTGCATGATGTGGAACCCAACCTTTGGCACATGCTGTCAATCAGCGAGCGATCGAACCCAGCATTCAAACGAGAGGGTTTCACGCACCACGAGGTTAGGCAGACGACAAAGAAAAATTAGGTGCTTCGAAATAAAGCCACGTAAAAAAGAATCGCCGGCTCAAGTGAGAGAGGGGGGTGGTGTTCATCTTCGCAGGCAACTTCGGGCAAGTGGTGGAAATTCCACACGTCTATGGCAGGGGCCAATCTGAATATTAGTACTGCCAGCACAGCTGACTTTCTAATAAGTTAAACTCATTTATTATCATTAACCATGGGATGATGGGTTGAGATTTTAACTTACCATATTCTAAGTTGAGCTTTAGCCACAGCGGGAATTTTGAATGATGATCGTAATTAGATCATAAGGAATAAACCACGAACCAGTGATAAATTCAGTGACAATGTCATGATACATCTTCTTTGGTTCTTTCGGTAAAGTCACGTAGAATGAGAATAAAATAATAAATTGATAAAATAAAATAACACAATAATATTCTCACGACGTTTCGGCCACAACACAAGCGGCCTTCATCAGGTGAAGGGGCGAGACTGTCTGGTCATGATACACTTGGTGGCACTGTGGTAAGAGCTGGACTCAAAATCAGAAGGATGAGAGTTCACATCACATACATAGGTCAAATCAGTTAAACTAATTTTATTTTACCAGGTAAGACCCACTGAGCTATGTAGCTCTTTTTCAGAAGTGACCTGGCCAGAAATTCTAGCTCAATGAAGTGGCTTATCACGTGGAAATGTATAGCAGCCAAAAACTCTAAAAGCATGTTCTAAATGTGGAGGAAAAAAAATGGAGGACCCGGAGAAAAACCCACTCGACCACAGGAATAACATGCAGACTCCAAATATAGAGGCGTCAGTGTCGGGATCAAAACCACGACCTCGTCCTGTATAGCAGGCTAGTTTGTTAACATCTCACCACCACGGAGTTAATCATCTTGCCATCTATCGGAGACCAGGAAAATAAGTAGTGCTCCTTAGTTGGGAAAGACTGGTCTTATCGTGGAAATGTGGACTTGGCAATGTCGGTTTAGGGGCCAGCACCATTGCTGAATGCGCAGGAAGACGCTGCGTCTTGCTTGGAGCAAGTCCGCAGAGCCACGACAGCGACATCGCCAAGGGGCGTTGTGCGCACGTTCCTGTAATTTTCGTGGAATATCCAAGGGGGTACAGAGGGCAGCCTCTGTTTGGGAAGCGCTCTGCCAACGGCGCAATTCCTGAGGTCGCGCATTTCCATCATGCTGTGCCACAAAACAACATTCCTGCCATTCCATTGCAAATGTATCATAGCCATCCAACCAGCCACCATCCATTTAGCCAGCCTGCTGTGAAATTATTTACACCCAGAATTAAAAAAAATGTGGGCCAGGGTTGACAGGATTTTTCCACAGGGACTTTGACCTCCACCCCCTTCCTTGCCGCGGTGCTGGTGGAAGTAGTGGTAGATGGTGTAACAAAACACGTGTTATGTGTTTAAAAACACACAAAGTCCGCACGGAGTGATTGTCTAGTTGAAGCGCCGATTCTATCCTGCGCCGGCATAGTGCATCCGCGTCAAAACATTGATGCCTCCAACTGGGGAAATGTTTTTTACAGATTGTTTTTTCTCTCCCCTAATTCACGAAATGCAACAAGCTCACGCTTGCATGACCGAATGAGCGGGCGTGCCAGAAGTGAAACAGTGTGGCCAGTTATCGTCGCTCGCAGTTCATATGAGAAACAAACTGCATAACTGCGTTACGAGACAAACAACCCCTCTAGGGGATGATCCTGTGACTTCCAGTGCAACATGAATGGCACGAGTGTTCCTTCTCAAGGCCACAGCAATGCTCTTTCCAAGCTGTGTTCTTATTTCAGGCCGAGCCACCCTGGCGGAAGCCCATTCTACATTGTCTTTTGCGGGGGATTTTTTTTTTCTGATGATGATCAAGATTAAGGAGGTATCGATGATGATGATGATGATATCAATATCTACAATGAACCTATGCGACGCAATCTCCAATAAGAATTCAAAATTTTGCGGTGCTGTTGATGGTGTGGCAATGATGCTTCAAGTGTCGATGGTGATGAAGATAAGAGTTTTAAGATGATGGTTGATGAATGACGCTTGTGGAGATGATGATGCTGCTGCTATGAGACATTCAATAAAATTACAAAACTGTCCACTGCACACAGGATGATGATGCTGCAGATGAAGATGAAAACGATGATTTTGATGGCAAATGCTACGATTAAATACACGCCCTAATCAAGCGATTTGTTCACTTCACACAACAGGTGACAATGACGACGATCGTGAAGAAAATCCCAGTAACGACAATTATAAAGAATGACCCAAACACACGCCCCCATTCCAACATCGTTTATTCCCAACCCTAACCCCTCACCTCCTGCACCCTTCATGCTCCGTGCTTCCATGTCCCGCATCAGAAATGCAAACAAAACTCATCACCTGGTTAAACGATCGCCCAGGGGTTTTGTAGTTGTTGTTTTCCCAACAACTTTATCCCGATTGTGCTATGGGCACCGTGGAATGAGACGCAGTATCTATTCGGATTCCTCGCCAGTGGAACCCTTCGTGTTAGGAGAATGACGGCCTGCAGAAGTGGATGCCACAGAGCTACCCCTCTGCAACCCCTTCAAGTGCAGGGCAGCACTTTCAGACCCGCTCCGCCACATGAGAGCAATGATCGTTGAACGAGAGTCAAACGCAAGGCGTTTGCTTTATTCTGAGAGTCTGAATTTAGCCAAAGCGCAGAACCAATTTGAAAGTGATGGCTTTGTTTATTTTGTGTGCGCAGTCAGTGGTGACCAGGCCGAGACCATCCAATCAGTACACTGGTGAACCAGGCTCAAATCACAGGAGGCCGAAAACTGGATTCGAACGCAGCATCTCCAACGGCCGTCTGGAATGCTCCTCCTTCCGATATTAGGAAGCCACTGCATGAATGAAAACGTATTACTACCTTTAGAACTGCCTTTTGTGTTTTTGTTTGTTGTTCTTCCCCCGCACCTCCGATTAGCACCGTTGGCTATGAATGGTGCGAAAGAAGTTCACCAGACACACATCACCAAATGTCGTACCCGGCCCTCCCACCCCGCCACCTCCGCACCTCACCTGTAGGATGGCGCCGTAGAGACGCAGCAGCACCTGGCGTGGCTCCTCGTGAACGCTCTCCACGTCATCCGGAAGGGCGCACAGGTACAGCCGGTTGCTGAGGCCGCCGCTGCCGACGAGAGGAGACGACACACGGGTTCGAGTCAAGACGCGGGGGTTGGCGGTGGCCGTGCGCGTGCGTGTACGACTCTACATCCAAGTTATTATCCTCCAAAATGTTTTTTTCTACTTTGACAGGCATGTGTAACTTCTTTCACACTGTACGTAGCCAACCGTGCTAATCGGAGGTGCGGGATTCGTTGCAAGGGGTAGATTTTCCTGCAGAATTCTTGCAACAGGCGGTGCGCACACCCAGTGCGAGGAGACGATTAAGGGCACAGAACCGCTTCTGAAACCTCTTCAATAGCTTCCCTCCCCCCTTACCTATGGCAATGCCTTCAGACTCACAGAGTACGCTTGTCGGAGGTCCAACGCAGTGAGCTGTATTAAACCTTAAAAACGTAACTTTGTACGTATTTTTTTTTAGGTGTGCAGTGCTAAATCTCGAGAACCTGGTTTAATGTCAAGATGGCTAAAAGCAGGATTTCGAACCCAGGATAATAGCGGTGACAGCTCAGTAATTATCCTCCGAAGCAACCGGCCACTTCATCACGTGTTGCTGCTGGGTAAAGCCAAGCCAAGAGTGAAAAACTCTACTTCCTTGGCGAGGTAGCGCTTATCACCACTGGCAACAAGAAGCCAGTTGTGAAAATTCCACATTTCCATGGCAGGGGCCAGTATGTGCAAACAGCAATCACTGCTGGTGATAGACGATTAACACATAGGTGGTGCTTGCTTTAAATTGAGAAAAACGCGACCCATTCATAAACGGTCCACCTCACTGCAGGAAGCGAACTCCCGGCACATTTGTGTGTGTGTGTATATATAAACGGGCCGAGTTCTCGTAGTTCCGCAAGCACGACCCCGGCCAGATCTTCACCACTGCCAGGCCTGTCCGTGCAGTGCTGTGTGGGCGTTCTCACTCCGCACCCCACCCCGCGTTCCTCCTCCTCCAACCTCCCCAAGCAAGAGCTTTGTTTTCATCACTGCGGCCAATAGCGGCGAGGGACGTCCTCCACCCCGCTATCCACTGCCCCGTAGACGCAGCAGCACGTGTTGCTCTCTGCTGGTAAACAGATCTCACGTGGCCGCCCCAGCAGCCTGCTTCTCGGAGTGGGAGAGAGGGCGGAGGGCGGTCCCAATGGGGCAGCCGCTTCTTACCAGAGCCAGCCCCGCAGCTACCCAGGTCTGCATGTAGCCTGTGATGAAGTGCAAGTACATATGGGGAGCGGTTGGTGCAAGTGGTTAGCACACTGCGCAACGAACCCGGCGACCCGAGTTTATTTCCCGCTCACAGCAAGTGACGATTATCTGAAACGTGTCTGGGCCTACCCTAGGTCAACTCAGCGTCAAATGAGTACCTGGTGTGTAAAAACATCACCACTCGGGAGACAAAGGCGGACGGACGGGCGTGGTGCTAACTACTAGGGCTGAACGATTTGGGGAAAATATCTAATTGCGATTTTTCTGACAGATATTGCGATTGCGATTTGATTTGCGATTAAATTTTTTAAAAGTCAAGTTTCAGTTCAATATTCACTGTGTAATAGATTTAAAACATGTGATGGAGCTTTACCACATACCATAAAAATATGAACTGCTTTAAATATTCTAATTCAAGGATGAGAACTTAAAAGATTTAATTGCTTCCAACATGTATTTATTCAAATGCTTTAATTTAAATAGAACAATCAAACATAGAACAATTAAGTTAAATAAAGTTATAATAAAAAAACAATTCCAATAAGTAATAGGACTCTTCAAATCGCAAAAAATCGCAGCCTTTGCGATTTGCTAATCGCATCGTTTCAAATTGAGATTTAGATTTGAAATCGATTAATCGTTCAGCCCTACTGGCTACCCACCCCCTCGTGTGCCGTTACGTGCCTCCATTAGGTGCTCGCTAACAGCACTTGCCAACATTCTGTTAAGGCTATACGGGGATCTTTGTCTTTATTGTATGTATGCTCAACTTCTTTCGCACCATACGTAGCCAACCGTGTTAAGCGCAGAGGTGCGGTGTTGCAAAAAGCATGTGACATCATTCACAAGCACCAGCGTGCTATATATCTCATCGTTATTATTAAATCGTGGTCAATCCACTGTTGGATGAAGGCCTCCTCAAGCCACTACCACCTTGCACGATGCAATAATCCATCCAGCGCACGTACAGATTTCATTTCTCCATTTCCCGTTCTCTCTAGATTAGAGGACACACTTTCACACTTTCCTGCCCTGTATTTTAAAGCAAACTGTGGGGGTAACATACTATAACTGTTTTTCTGTCCCTGATCAGAGTCAAATAAGTGTGGCAACAGGTTGCACAGTGCTTTTATCTTCCAACACATTGTGCACACCTAATGACCGCGAATGAAATCATTAAAATGGGACCGTGCACAAATCTGTTTCAATGTACGCGCTTACCAACTGCAACGATGCTTATTTCCCATCTAACTCAATGTCCCACGCATGCTCGAATACTGTGGCCTATTAACCCTTAAATTAAGGACATTGCATTCGTATGCACGCGTGCCCTTTGGACAGTCTGCGCACATTAACTCGGTTTGTGATATTTCGTTGCGATTTGGTGCATTGTGGATTTAACGGCGCCCCGAGTGTGGCTGGAGGGGTCACGTGAGCGCTTCACAAAGCATGAAAAGAAAAAACAGTGGCGCCTAGGCGTGCGAGTTCAGTAGAATCGATTAATAACTACACGCATCGTCGCACCCCAAATTAAAAACAAATACCAAGCCATGGATATAAATACCACGTAGTATTTTGCTACTAAATACAAGTAGACCGTTTACAAATTAAAGCAGAATTTGATAAGCACTTGACACAGTAAGCCACCACCTCGTGCGAGACGGTTTGAATGTCGGGGTCTAAGTTACATGAACTGCAGTGACACGAGAGTTAAAATAGTTGCCCACTGTGAATGGGCGTCAAGACTGATGAGCTCCACATGGTACTTTTTAGGGCAAATGGAGTCGTGCAAATGGGAAAAATAACGTTAAAAATAGCGTTAAGATTACGAATTTGAGGAGCAAGACAGCATCCTCATATTGAGAAAAAGAAAAATGACGTTTTGCTTCGTCAAGGTTCCTAGCAAAAAAAAAACATTAGCACAGCAGAAAAAATACCACTTTGTAAATTAAAAATAATAAATATAAATAACCAGAAGTCAGAGCTAATAACCACCCCCCCCCCCTATTTGTGCCCCAGTCCTGAGACCTTAGGTCCCTCAGGTGGACGAACGCCTGTGAATGAGGAATCCCGAGAGAGCCAGTGTTTTTGCCCAAGCAAGCAAAAACCATCGGTTCCGCCAATAAAACATTTTCCATCCAAATCAAAATCGTTTTCGTCTTTAAAAAATGTATTTTGGCCATATCTGAGCAAGCGGTGGAAATGACAGCATTGCCGTTGTAGGTGCCAGGTCGAGGAGGCAACAGTGGTTTTGTGCAGTTGACCGCTCACGTGAGTGACGCGAGACATCTAAACCGATCCTCCCCTCTACCAAGCCGTACTGATCATCAGCATGGCGAATGGTCACACAGCCCTCCACGAGCGACGTGGCTTTGAGAGGGATTCATCCGACAATGCATTGACAAGAGGCTACGTATGTTGAACTTTTTTCGCACCGTACGTAGTCAACCGTGCTAAACCGGAGGTGCGGGGAAGGACAACAAGCTTAAAACATAAAGGAAATGTGAATCTGGATTGAGATGCTCACGGAATCGCGGTTTGTGTTTCAATAGTCGTGACGATGTCAAACGACACGGGGATATGAACATTATTTTAATAATGATAAAAATATATACTGGAAAGTGCTCATCTCGCCGTAAGAAGGGCGTCGTTGTTGACTTCCTAAAAGTGGTGTTTAGTTATTACCGTATTCTCTGGAATTATAAGACGCTCTGGAAAACAGGACAAAGCCTACATTTGTACCCGTTGTTAATAGGGTTATACAAATCTGGTCACACTAACACTATAAAACTATTTTTTTCTTTTACCATGTAAGGCCCACTGAGCTGTATAGCTCTTTTTCACAAGCAACCTAGCCACAAATCATAGCTCAATTAAGATACTTTTATCATAATGTGGAAATTTATAGCAGCCAAATACTATAAATACACGTTTCTAAAAGGTGGAGGGGGAAACCGGAGGACCCGGAGAAAAATCCACGTGAGCACGAGGAGAGACAGGCAAACTCCAAATATAGAGGTGTCAGGGTCAGGATCGAACCCACGACCTCCTGTATACTAGGCGAGGAAGTTAACATCTCGCCAACGTGGCACACACATACATTACAAAACTACCAGATTTTATCCTGCTAGTCATACAGTGACTTTTGCCTACATTATAAATGTCATAAAACCATATTGGTTGCAAGTCAAAAGTCAAATCGTCTCCCTGCACCAAAGAGTAATCTTCATCTAAATCGTCGGAGTCAAAAACTCCACGTTACTACGTTAGGAACCAATCTCTCCATTAAAACAACCGCTGTTAAAGAGCAGTACTCCCACGAGTGTGATCTCACAGGAAGGAGAGGCAGTCAACCACCGATCAGGACAGGACATTGCCATTTCGAGTTGAGTGCTCTCACCAAAGCAGCTTGAGAGCACCTTCGGATCAAGTGCATTCAATCCTGAGGCTCAGCTGGAAAGCAAATGGGGGACAATGCCATTGTTCCAGAATTAGCAGCTAACCGCAGACCCCAAAAACAATGACCTGGATTGAACCGCGTCAGAATACCGCATGACAGATGCGGTTATCCCCTACTCCGATGGACAATTAAGAATAGCCCAAGGCGCGACTGCAGTCACCAATAAGAAACCATGGTGTAAAACAGCATCACACCATTGTTCACCAGGTCACTCCTCAATCGTCAACCTCGAGATAAACATACAAGAGCAGTGTTCTTCATCGCAAGGCCCACAGGCCACTTGCGGCCCCTGGTGGCCTTTAGTGCGGCCCCCCGACAACACACAAACATCGTGCTGTCAAAGCCAA